GAATTTTTCTGTTTGTAATTAAAAGGATCTTCGTTGCCGTCGTCAACGCAGTGAGAGCGAAGACTCCCCCTCCCCCCCCGAGAGGGGTGTCAAGAGGGTGAAGTTGGAGGAGGACACGGATTTCGATTTCGATTCTTAGGGTGGTAGCCGGGTTGATGGACATTTATTTTTCTAGTCTACATTACTTACGCTACAAACTGTTTAATGTTAACTTTTCCTTCTTGTCGTTTCCGTTAAGGTTTCCATTAAGGTTTCCGTTAAGGGGAATTGGTCAGCACTGTCAGCGTAGAATATTGGGGATTGGTCAGCATCAACCTTCCTTAAGTCTCGACTGACACCTTCGTCCTTTTTATACATTGCCCGCCTTCCCCCGGCTTTCTCCAATCTTTCTTTCCCTCAAGAGCTCCTCAAGCAGCACATGTCATCATTGTCTGTGTCGTCGTAACGTCGTAGTTGTGTCGTTGTCTGTGTCCGTGTCGTGGTTTAAGTTTGGGATGCATTTACCAATGGTCAAGTTCTTGTCCCTATTGGGGTTCTAATGAGGCATCAGGGCGTTCTGAGTGCCTCGCCTCTTAGAGGCAAGTTAGGAGGGGTTATTGCGGCAGTGCTGATGTTTGTACCTCTTTGTCAGAAGTTGGACTTTTGTTCGAGCCGAAAGGGTCTCCCTTCTTTAACCTCTTCAGTCATGTCCACAGCGGCATCTGATGACTCTTTGCCTCTGCTACCTTGCAACTCGTCTAGGTCTAGACAGTCTTCCCAGTCACGCCGCCCTTCTCCTGGAATGGAGAACAATGACCCAAAACGGCCTGATCCGGATCGTTTAGAACGACTCAGTGACAAGAAGAAACGCAAGCGTAATCAAACGTAAGAGGTCCATCATCTGGGGATCATTGATTGACAGGATGAGGTAGAGAGGACCACCTCAAGCCCTTCAAGCACGCCGCTCAGTGGTTCTCGAGAACTCAATCTTTATACATTGCTATAGGGGTTAATATTCACGCAGCTTGGGCTTTGTCCAGCAACCCTGAAGATCCTCTCATTGAAGGGATGTGCGTATCTTCTTCCCCTTCCTTTTTCAGAAGTCTGATTCTTTCTGATCTGAGGTAGGTCAGATGCTGACAAAGAATGGCATCTAACTACCTATGAAAAGTTCCTCAAGCATACCCCAGGTCTCCGAACACGTCTTCTGGAGCTGATGGACGAAGCTAAGTCTGAGGAATTGGAACACTTCGTGGCTTGGGTTCGTCACCCTTTTACTTGAATGTGATATACTAGAACTCTACCTTTTACCTTCCCAGCTCGAGTCCCAAGCCAGTCAGGGTAGAACGGCGGATACCAACATGCTCAAATCTCAGATTCTGGTATACATGCTAGACAAGCCTTTAACGGACGTCCTGGACCCCCCCATTTCGCCAGCGGAACAGACCAAAGCCAACCGTGGCTTCAAACACCCTTATATTGCGTCTCTGCTCTGTCCTCGCAAATATCGTTTAAAGTTTCTGGCTAATCCCTCAAAGTAAGTCAAGGATCTTCCCTCTCTTCTAAGTCTTTCAACTGAAGCTTCTTGAGGATCATGCAGAAGATCAAGGACGGCGTGATCAAGATCAATAACACTAGCCTACCTTCTCTTTGTTTCGACCTGGCTCAATTTGATGACGCGGACCCCTTCAAAGGGCTTTTCATGAATATGACTTTAATCAGGGTGAACGTTACCTATTTACACTCTGAGGTTTAGCTGATTGTTGTAAAGGCAGGACGGGCTATACTCTTCGGGGAGTCCAAAGCGATCAACGGCATTGAACATCACTCGCGGGCACCTAGAAAGAGCAACGCACGCCACAATGGCATTAAGAGGGTCCAGGAGGGTTTCATAGCTATGGTGTGTTGTCAGGTAATATTTATTCTTTGCACAGTTTGCCCTGGACGTGTCTGTGACCGCTCTTCAGGTGAGGTTCTCACTTTCCTCTGTGGAAAGCTGGGAGATCGTGGACAAAGAATTTCGTTACGACATCTTCCATAAACAAGTCATCGCCAGGTTCGTGAGGAAGGACGAGTGGGCCATCAGTACCCTGAAATGGTGGAATGAGTACGTACCCGGTCCATAATGTTTTTCCGTAAGCTCAGGGACCTCTAGACAGCTTTTTGGGCGCGACTCGCCTGAACATGAAGACGATCAAGATGAAGATGACTCGGATGCTGATTTGAGGGACGACATTGAGAATATGGACCAAATACAGGAAGAGCGATGGCCGATTGCACCCACGGCCTCACCCACCATAGCACCTGCCCCTGCTCCAGCCTCTGCCCCTGCCGTATCATCTACGCCCACAACCACCACATCTACCGTTGCTTCCACTGCCACACCCACTGCTGCGCCCCCCTAGATTGTTTCCCCTTCTGTTATTCCTTGGTCTGAGGTTCTTGGTCCACTAATCTTGAGCTATTCGTCATCCTTACCCTAGTACCTTTGCTTCATTCTCAATTCATTTTATTTTCGATTCGATTCATTTTCGATTTCGATTTCGATTCGATTCGTTTTGTTTCACTTTCGTTTCTTTTCGTTTTCGCTTTCGTTTTCGTTTTTGTTTTCGTTCTCGTTTTCGTTCTCGTTTTCGTTTTCGTTTTTGTTTTTGTTTTCGATTCGATTCGTTTTGTTTCACTTTCGTTTCTTTTCGTTTTCGCTTTCGTTTTCGTTTTTGCTTTTGCTTTCTTTTTCGTTATCTTTTTCGTTATCTTTTTCGTCATCTTTTTCGTCATCTTTTTCGTTATCTTTTTCGTTTTCGCTTTCGTTTTGGTTTTTGGTTTTCGTTCGTTCTATTCTGGGTTGCAGGTTCAGACGTTTCTTTTAGAATTCTGTATTGTTTTGTGTGTAATGTAGAGCGTCGATAATCAGTACAAGGATAATCTCGACATCAAGTGCAACAACAAGCCTGATAAAAAGTGTGACAATGAGCATGACAATAAGCACGACGATGCGTGACGATTAGTGCCATATTAAGCATGATGATAAGCATGATGATATAAGTGTGAAAATTAATGACTTACAGCTCGCTTTGGTGTAGCAGAGATTACCACCTCGCCCTACCTTTTCATTAAAACCAGACGCAAAAGGATATTCCCATTGCTAACTCTGCTTTGGCATTCCAAGGTGATAAGTGGGAGGTCCCCCTGGAGATACGCTTGTTTTACCACTCTTATAAGTCCGAACAGCAGGGTAAATCAGAGAACTCATCTGGGAGTTAAAGCACTTAGATGTCTAACTCTAAAGGACCAATGTCGGCATCTTTACAGTCCTAGAAAACTTTATCGCAACTTTGATGAATGGGAACCCAGATTGACTTATGACCCTTATAAGGGCTTACAAGCCCTCCCTACCATTATCGAGTTACCAGATATTTAAGCGAAACCCCAGTAATAAATCCCTTTATCCAAAACTGTCTTAGGAGCATCTGTAACACTGATTTGGCCCTTCATTGAGGGAAGTCTCTCAACTGTTTTCTATCCGATACTCCAAGGCTTTAATTCAACTTTTGTAGTATTCAACATCTAGTTCCTGCTGAATATAATTTCTGGAATTCTGTAAATTTGTGATATTGGGGGATACAGTACAAGGCTCTTTTGACACAGTCCTCTCATAAATCCCTTTATCCAAAACTGGCTTAGGAACCTCTGTAACACTGGTTTGGCCCTTCATTGAGGGAAGTCTCCCAAGTGTTTTCTATCCCATACCTCAAGGCTTTGATTCAACTTTTGTAATATTCAACATCTAGTTCCTGCTGAATATAATTTCTGGAATTCTGTGAATTTGTGATATTGGGGGATTGTGATATTGGGGGATGCAGTACAAGGCTCTTTTGACACAGTCCTCTCATAAATCCCTTTATCCAAAACTGGCTTAGGAACCTCTGTAACACTGATTTGGCTCTTCATTGAGGGAAGTCTCTCAACTGTTTTCTATCCTACAGTCCAAGGCTTTGATTCAACTTTTGTAATATTCAACATCTAGTTCCTGCCAGATATAATTTCTGGAATTCTATAAATTTGTGATATTGGGGGATGCAGTACAAGATTTACAAGTAAAACAGGTTTCACATTGTGCTTCTACTAGAGATAAGTCATAAGACCCTGGAACACCTATTTTACTAAAATTCTTGGATAATGATAAATATTCTATACAAACTCATAGGGTGGTTTCTAAACTTCACCTTTCCAGGCTCTGTCCTCTTAGTCACATTTAATACAATTATGGCACATTCAAGAATGGGGGATGCGGTATATTACACAGAATTCTTTTTGATCTCTTGTAGGGTCTTACAGAAGTTGTCAGTGGTTGTGAGATGTAGGCCTTTCCTTTGATGATGGCGAGCGCTGCCTGGATGTTGCAGAAATTCAGGGATACCATTGATTCATCCGAATGGCCAGACGAAGCTGGCATAAAGAAGTTTGAACACGTCTTGATAACAGATGTTGAACTCACAAATCGAGTTCTCTCTTCCGAGTCGTCTGTTTTTTAAACGGACGGGTCAACAAGACCTCGGCCAGGTGGTGCTCAAGGAATTGACCTTACTCTGAAATGCTACAAGCAATATAGTAACTAATGAGTGTTCAACGTTTGACTTCAGCACTCGGATTTTTTTGTCTCGAATTATAAGATGGCAGATAAACATCCCGGAAATTAGACGTGTAGCACCCCTACCTCAAGTATTTTCCTCTCGTCTTCTTTGTAAATCAAAGAGGAGTGGTTTGGCGTGATTGAGATGAATGGAGTCAGGGTAACTTGTGTGTTACGGTGCAGTTATGCTGCCACTGACATGAACTACATACTTATTAGACCGTAAAGTTGATGCTGTGATTGCCAGAGAAATGGAACTTCTTACTCTCAGACTTCTGACCAAGGAAACATTCGGGCTCCTTTGGCAGCCCACTGTAGAGATGTCCTTGATCAGTGAGATTCGAAGTTACGAGGCTACTTGAAGTGTTAGGTATGAAATCCTACCAACTCCCTGGTAGTATATCGGTTAGTACACGCGCCTGTCATGTGATCTGGTTATAGAATTGTTGGCCGCGCGAAAGCTGGGTTCGACTCCCAGCCAGGGAGCTACACAAATGATTGTTTTTTGGTTGAGAATTATCCATGTTTCGTTATCTTTTTTTCTCCGAGTACTTGCGTTAATGACAATCGCATAGGAAGCGTGTCTTTAAAGCAGAATCATCGAAGACCTATGGGCAAATGTCAAAATTGGCGGGATACACGCCGATCAATATCGCCAATTATCAACTGAATCTATAAACTAGCAATAGCCTATATATTGAAGTAAGTACCAGAGACTTGTCAATCAAGAGGAGCAAGTATTGATAGTAGAAAAAGTTTTAAAAAAGCAAGAGTATCATATAAAGTCCTCTTTACCCGACGATTGGCTAGATAGTACAATTAGGCTTGAAAGTTCAGCTATACAGCTATTCAGATCCTCAGATCCTCAACGGCTTCATAATCCATATATCGACATCCTCGGAGTCAACAATTCCCTTTTCATCTCGCTCAATTATCTTCCCGGAAACGTCCTCATCATACACAGCGATGTCATACAGGTCCACCTCGGGTTCTACTAGTAGTTCATTCACAGCCTGAGTCTCTTTCTTCTGATCGAGGTTCGATCCTTTTGCGCTCCATCTCGGTTTGGCATCAACGTCGTCTTTAAAAGGTATGGGTCTACCTTTGGATATAACCACCATCGTGTCCGAGTCCTCTAGGACTTTCGTAGATTCAGATTCAGACGACGACTCTGGGATTTGATCTCCGAGTTGTCGGAAAGAACGTCCGACAGCATTCTGAACGTCTTCCCAATCAAACCCATCGCCGAGATGCACCATAGCCTTCATCTCTAGGTACTCTAAAAGCGGACCAACAGGGGCTTGATGCGCGGGAGTCGACATTGAGGTGTAATGCGCTGAAGGAGACGACCAGCCTGCGAGGATGAATAAATTGAAAGGGCTATTCTCCGGTGTACTATCACTAGTGTTTGAGACAGCAGCTGGGTCGGCTAGTGTTGTTGAATGGGAATACGAAGGAAAAGGTACTGAGGTGAAGAGATATACAGGAAAGCCGGATAAAGACTGTTGAACATCTCGAAGGGCTATCAGAGCGGAGCGGAACGGTGATGAAGGTGAGAACGATCCGGACTCGGATGAAAGTTGGTGAGGAGGAATGATGGAGGCTATGACTAGTTCTGTTACATTGGGCATCGTAGTTTGCTTTGGAAAGATAAGGAAAAAAGTAGAAAAAAAGTAGTACTTGGATCTTTTTTCTTTTATACTTAGTATACCACCCCGTTCCGTCGCACGCAGGTCCCGACGAGGAATCGAACGTGACACGAGAACGCGGAGTAGTTGGACGCGTGACGTTGATGGGATTGATGAACGCGTCAAAACTTGTCCTTTTTTATCAGATGGCGCTTACGTACGCAATTAGTATCTATTTTTCCACCTTGTAACTCTTTCCACTGCGACAAGTATAAAAAATCCGCCTATAGAAACGTATAAAAAGGGTGGAACGCGGAAAGAAATGTCCCAAAAACCATTCAAAATGTCAGCCATTTCCACCGGTGCGGTCCCTTACACCCCAGAGTCCTTCCGTCCTTTGCTTAAACGACTGGTCGAAACTCCGGAGTACTTTACCTCTTCTGACCTCGTTCACGCTCTCAACCATCTCTTTACACCTAATACACTTCAACCGGAACAGATTGGGTCGTTCTTGACCGCTTTACATATCCACCGTGTCGAACGTCGACCGGAATCGTTGGCTGCGGCTGCTCAGGTGTTGAGAGAGAGGAGTTTGAAAGCTCAGATCGATGGAATGGAAGGGGATTTCGTGGTGGATATCGTGGGTACAGGTGGAGACGGACATAATCTGTTTAATGTGAGCACGACAGCTGCAATTGTCGCTGCTGGTGCTGGTGCAAGAGTCATCAAGGTACGTTTTGTCCAAAGTTCCATGACATGCAAAACTCTAATTGACACATATATTACTGTTTCGACTATAGCACGGTTCCCGGGCCTCCACCTCTTCCTCAGGCTCCGCTGACCTCCTCCAGGCTCTTGGCTGTATCTTCGTCGCACCACCTCCGATCCCAAACGACATTCCTAAAATCTACACGAATCCGACTCTCAACTCACCTAACCCTACGCCGGGTGCTACTCCTCCCGATAGTCCCACTACCACTACTGCTACCTCTTCTGCTCCTGCCAAGAAACCGAAATACACTCCGATTCCCAATATCCCGTTCACTTTCATCCTAGCCCCTCACTACCACCCTTCTCTCTCCTTCCTCGCACCCTTCCGAAGAGCTTTACCTTTCCGCACAATGTTCAACATCCTCGGTCCCTTAATCAACCCCGCTCGTCCTCGAGGTATGGTCCTAGGCATAGCAGAACCCGAACTAGGCTGGACATTCGCCAAATCGTTATTAGAAGGCGGTGTCGAGAGAGCTCTAGTCGTCTGTGGAGAAGAGAGAATGGACGAAGTGAGTTGTGCTGGACCGACGCTGGTTTGGAGTTTAGGGTTGGATTTGGAAGAAGTGTTGAGTGATGTGAAGGATGATGAATGGCCTTCCACGGCATCGGGAGGAGGGATGGTGGAAGAAGGAGAAGGAGGAAAAGTGATCAAGATGAGGATTACACCTGCTATGTTTGGCTTACCTTCTCATCCTCTCATTTCCGTTGCCGGTGGATCACCTGTAGATAATGCCAAGACTTTTAAGGACATGTTGGATCCTTCGGATGTCGCTGGATCGAGTTCGTGGCATTCGTCTGGAGAGAAGGCACCTGCGAAATTGGAACCGGTGTTACATTTCACTTTGATGAATGCTTCGGCTTTGTTGGTCGTTGCTGGGGTGGCGAAGACGTTCAAGGAGGGTGTTAGGTTGGCGGAGGAGAGTGTCAGGACTGGTAAAGCTTGGGAGGCGTTTGGGAAGTTTAGGGATGTTGGGGTGAAAAAAGCAAATGATGGTGAGGGGGTGTAAATATGTAACGAGGGAAGGGAGAGTAGAGAGGAGGAGGGAGAAAAGATATGTATGAATATAGGTATTGGTATATAGGCTCTAGGAGGTACACATAAGGAACATATCATGGTAGGTGAAAGCAGAAAGGAATTCGCTGTATTGAATTGATGATGGCTAGTGATTGTCCCTCCAAAAAAGCGTCCATTCGTTCTCTCTTTTTCTTGATTTAATTTATTCAATCTTATTTCGCCTTTTCATACCAGCCGCGTTTTAGGTGTACATGTGTCGCACAGTGTATCGAGCTTGAGTGTAAGTGAACGTTCGAGCCACAGCTGGCCAGGGTGTGGCTTAATTTGTTTTGTACCTTTAAGATGATGGGTAGATAACCTAGGAGGAATGCAATGTGCTGTACAAGTGATATGGATCGAGGCCGAGACAACAGTACAAATTTCATAAACAACAATGAGCACAAGTATAACCAGCGCCTTAACCTTTACCCAAACTGTCACAACTAGTACCTTAGGTACTTCATTGCATAGATAACCAAATGTCAGGGCCTTGATGTCAAGTCCATCACTGTCTCTTTTATATTGCAATGCCCCGAAACCTGCCGAATCTGATCCATGTGGTTTGTGTCCAGTAGCACATTTCCAGTCTTCCTACGTATGAAGTTAGACACTGTAGATAGGAAAAGATAGGATCAGTTTAATGCCAAGAGCCTAGAGATACTGATAACAAATTTTCATCTACTGGGTTCTGATTCCAGCTTGGCAACTCTCTTCCACTACATTATATGTTATTATCGACTACCCCTTAGATTTGATGTCAAACGTGGACCATCATGGTATATAAACCTCAAATTTTAGGAACCTCATTGCTTTGCGATTGAAGTTCTACCTTCCTGGACCATGTCTTCGATGACAGAGCAGCAATCTCAACCTCTAAGTGACTTTGATCTCTTTGCTTTGAAGATTTGGATGTGTCAAACAGCGATTGGCTATTTGGCATATGGGGCATATGCGACATTATCTGCCTTAGCATTTTCTATCTTTGTGTATGGTTCTATTCTCTTCCTTATGTCAATTTATTAAAAAATTTTGGATGTACAAACAGGGCAAGGGGTTTTTCATCAAGGGCTCAGATATATCTATCCATTCTCATAGGATTTATGCTTTTGATTTCAACTTCTACGATCGTCCTTCAAACAGCCTATATTTTCATTCAAATTCCACTCGAAGGATTCAATTCACCAGATTCGGTGTATGTTACTACATTGCTAAACAGGATCAGAGCGACTGTTCAATTTTTAGAAAGGTTTAATGTGAGTATTCTAGATCTTTTTCCACATTGGACTATGGAAATTTTCTGAGAATTGAACTTAGTTCCTGATCAGTGATGGGATTGTTGTTTGGAGAGCCTGGATAATGTTTCCACAAAACAAAGCTGCCAGAACTACCTTGGCAATTTGCATGATTGGTTCATTAGGTGAATGAATCATTTCATTTTGCTTCATGTTGAGTGACTTAGAATCAATGTAATCATTCTCCTAGTTGGCATCTTTATCAGTGCTGGGCTTGCTATAGCAACATTTATGAGAAATTCTGATGAATCGATCCACAGCAAACAATTCTTGCTGTTAGTTCTTCCGCTCTTGATCACAAACTTGGTCGCCACAGTTATGATTGCTGTTAAAGCATGGTTGGTGGACTTGAAGTCATTTTCAGTAGACCCATTGACAGTGCTACATTATTTATCTAGGATCCATTATCACAATGTCAAAAAGCATTTAGGGTTGCTTAGAAGTTCAGTTTCAAAAGTTCAAAAAATCCTGCTCTTTTTAGTGGAGTCCGGATGTATATACTGTATGCTCTGGGTGAGAAAAATGTTTCTTCTCTTTTTGAAAAAATATAAACTCATTGTTTTAACTCAGATTGCATATGCAATTATATCTTTATGTAGTGGGGAAGAAAGTGTTCCTTTCCAGCTGTATGCCATTGTAATCCCAGATATATCAGTAAGTACTTATTTCCTCTCTTATTTTGTTCCTCCACAGTGACTGTTATGGGTGGTAAAATCTAGGCTATCTACCCAATTTTAGTGA